CTGTGTGGGCCAACATGGCTGCAGTGGCTTCCTGCACATTATTCTGTCGAAAGCACCTCTTGGATATTTATGTTTCCTGGCTCAAAACCTCCACTGATGCCCAGTTACCAGGCAAAGGCAGCCTCCTTAGCTTCCGTGAGAAGGCCTCTTCAAAGAACCCTTCCTCTCTCTCTAGCCCTTGTGAACAGATCCTCAACCCAAAACCCCATCCACCCTCCTGCCCCCAGAAGTACCATCCCCTGAGCTGAGACCCTTTCCCTCTTCTCATTCTTTCTTTCACCTCCACTGTTCCTTGGCCTGGAACAGCCAAGGAAATGAGAAAAAAAAATGGAGACGATTACTTCACAGTGTTGGTAGGCAGGGACTCTTTCTATGGATGGGTCGTTAACAGTCTCCATAAACAAAAGATTGCCTTGTTTATACCTGCTTCTCGGAGTCAGCGTTGCTTAAATCTGCTTAAGGTGAAGTGAGTGCTTTGTGTTTGAGAAAATCATATGGGAGGCACAGAAATACGAAATGTTCACTTTGTTTAACATGTAAGTGTATTCCACAACAGGTGGCCTCCCAGCTCCCACAAATAAAACAAAATCAGTTGACTCAAACCTATCAGAGAACAGAGAGGAATAAGGCCAGGTGGTGGGATCAGGAGCAGATGGGGAATGTTTACTTAGAGCTTCGTTTCTTCTCATTAAGTGTCCCTCTAATCAAGTACCTTCTCTCAGACTTAAGCAAACTTCCAGTGTCTGTGAATAGACTTTATTTAAAAAAAGAGGTATATTCCCATGTCAGTTTCTCCTTTTTTCCAAAGTCAAGGGTAGAACACCCATATGGTGTTCATGGACACCTGTGCTACCTTCAGTATTCCAAGTTTCCATTCAAACTTATATTTGAAGTCTCCAAATTTTTCAGTCAAATAAAAATAGCATAGAAATTAAACTGAAAATATTATACATCCTAGGAATTTATATACACACACACACACTAAACTAGGCAGAATCAGCCACAGTGGTCTGTGAGGACTTAGTACAGTTGAAGCGGAACTTCCAGGTGACCAGGCTCACACCTGCCTGGCCCTTGCGCCAGGCGGTCTGGAAGGTTTGGTCTTCAGGAAGCGCTGCAGTTCTCTGTGGGCCCTGGTGTGTCTTTGAATTCTTCTCCTTCAGCATCACGACTCTTGCTGGTTTTCTTCCCATTGCTCTGACTACTGCATTTCCATGTCTTACAGCAAACTTTTATGAAGCTTATAGGGGGAAGACTAAGGGCCCTTTCTCTCTTGAGACCACACACCCTCAGTTTCCCCTCTTGCCCATATGCTCGACAGGTCCGCTGACCCTTTCTTCTGGGCTGTCTCCCTGGTTGTCTCCCATGGCTGTTAACCTCGTGTTGTTAATCCCGCCAGGGTGCCAAGGCTGCCGTTGGATGGCGCTGTTGAGGGTGCCAGGGTGGATGCAGTTCTGCATATGTACTGAGCTCCGTGGGGTAGAGATGCGGCCACAGGCATGCAGATGACCCAACAGCCTTACCCTTTCACGGGATCAGACGTGGAGACAGAGAACACTAATAGACGAGGAAGAGAGCGTAAGGCCCAGTGAGAAAGGTGCAGCTTCAAAGGAAGTGAAGATTTCCAGTGAGAGTCGTCAAACCTTTGAGATGAGCTATGGAGAAAGCTTGTGGTCTCCTCTTGCCTAGAAATGCTAAAGTCGCAGCAGACTCCTTGCGGTGGCTGAGTGGTTGTTCTGCAGAGGCTGGAGATGGGTGTGGGAGCCTGCTGGCTCCTCTTTCCCATGTCCACGTATCTGGATTGCTTGGCTTCTTTATGGGGGTGGGGATGGGAGGGTCTGCTTATTCCAAAGCACAGAATTTAAGTTTGTTACTTAGGAGACATCTTCTTTTCCTTTTATCAAATGTTGTTGTTTTGTAGCAGAGGAGCTTGATTCGCATGTCTCCTTCCATGGCATTCAGGCTCAGCTTTCAGAAGATTAGCCCTCCCCACAGTTCACAGTGCGTTTGTGAGAGAAGCGAGGCCCTGATCGCAGCGAGCGCCAGCCTTTTCCTGAATGAGGGGCATGCAGCGTGTGTGGACGGGCCAGGCTCGGCTGCTAAAGACTGTGTAGAACTCGCCAGCACGGTGATGCCAGAATGTTTTTCTTCCTTTCCTTTAGCAAACACACTTTGAGCACTTACTCTGCAGTGTGCTCGTGTGGCTGAAATTCAAAGTTGCCCGAGTTACAGTCCCTGCTTTGAAGGCACGGACCATCCAGGAGAGCAGATAAGTACGTGTCCGGTTAACCCTGAGCGCCGTAGAGAAAGGGTTGTTCTGTTTGAAGGAAGCCTGCTTGTTAGGAAGGTCGGCCTCAGGGGCATCATGATCATCCACTTGAAACTCGGCTCTTTCAAGCTTTGGCATTTCTTTCTATTGTGGATCTTGTTCTTCATTTTTTCAAAATTTGATCTGAGCAGGTGATGTGTCCTCATGGTTCATATACGGAAGCAATTTAGAAAGGTGGGTCTCCCCCTCATCTCCATCCCTGTTTACTTAACTCACTGTCCAGTTCTCCTAATCCTACCTGACTTACTACCTCCTTCCTCCACTGATACAGGTGACCGTGTGTGTTTCTCAATTCCCCGAGGACATGGCCAGTATCTCTTCATGCACAAAAAGCAGCATAGAGCTTGTCCAGTTCATCACTCAGCTTGTTAATTGAACACTGCCTCTTGAGCATCTTGAGATGGCTGTGTCAGTGCCTAGCAGAGATCCTTCCCCTTTCTTCCTAGGCAGTGTCTATTATCTTCGTGGTATTTCAATGCTAATGTCACATTGGTTAAAAACGGGTCACAGGGCCAACCCCAGAGTCCACGTGGGAAGGAACGTCAGGTGGTGCCGTATATGGGGGGTCATGATGTAACTGTCCACCACACATGGTGTGAGCAACCAGCCCTCACTGATGGACACCTGGTTATTTCCAATCTTTTGATATTGCAGATAAGGCTCCAGTATAAAACCTTGTCCATAACTCAGTTCGTCTCTGAGCAGCATAGATTACTAGAAGACGCTGGACCAAAGGGCAAACGCCTTCTCAATTATCTGTTCTATTTCTGTGGTGACATTTCTCTGGTTATGTTAAGATTGTGCTCTTCTGTCATTTGTTTGGGAGTTTTGAATATGCAGAGTTTGGATAATAAATGCATATAAACTGAATTAGCTAGAAATTCACTTCTAAAATAACAAAAAATATGGAAAACTAGAATAGAAAAGTCAATAATTTTGAATAAAGTAACATATATATTATTTGAATAAATGTATGTGCATTATAACAAAGCTTTTCATTTCTTTGCAGCATAGAAGCACTTCATTTGCTCATAATATCTCACTTAATTCTCTGGCCAGTTCAATGAGTTGAAGGTGTAATTGGCTGCAGTGTGTGTGCATGCATGTGTGTATTCAAAGGCTTAGAGGATTACATGACTTACCCCAACTAGTAGGTTATAGCTAAGACATTTACCTGTGACAATAAACTTGATCTCCTCCCAATAACCACATCTCATTAATAGGGACTTGCATCTTGTCTCTGGCTTAGCTTCATATGACATAAGTTTACTCAACTTGTTAATTGCCACACCGGTACATCAGAATCACATATCTTCCAAGGAGGCCCTTTCTAAAAAGTTATAAGTAGTGATTCCTAATTTCTGAATACTAGTAGATATGCGTCGAATTTTCTCTTTCGAATGTGACCTCATTATCTAGGTTGAGAGCTCTGTCCCCCAAACTTAGTCAGCAGCCAGTCTGGACAGAGGAATTCTCTGGAAGCCCATGTGCTTGCTTTCAGCCCTCAGGAAGGCAGGGTGGTTTTTAAATGAATCCTGTCTTAGCCCCCCTGCAGTGGATGTGGAAAGTAGACTGTTGCTTTTTTTTAGATTCACACTCAGACGTTTTCATAGGGGCTTGGTCACGGCAGAGTGGCCCCGCGTACAAACCACCCACTTCCCTGAGGCATGATTGATCGGCAAAGCTGCTCTGCTCAAGGGCAGCCTGTTTTCCTGCGCCTGGATGTTGACAGGTCCCACATGCACAGATTTTAAAACAGGTCGCTAGGTTGGCTGCAGGCTGCGGGCCAAGTCGTTTGTTCTTGAGGGAGAAGAGAGGAGAAAGGATCCACTTAAGGGCAAGCTACAGGGATCACTCTATGTTCTAGAATTCCTGAAATGTGGCAGCCCGGGCCAGCACAGTCCCTGTCGAGTGAGGTCCTGCTGGTGTTGGCTGCTGAGAAAACATACTGGAGCGTGGCGAAGGGGAGGCGAGTTTGGGGACGTACAGCGGGGCCTGTGCACATGGGTGTGAGCTCCCTTGATTAAGGATGTCTAACCATTGAAGAGAGGCATAAGATTAAAGATGGAAATGCAATACCTAGTCAAAGTAGCCTATGACAGGAGTTTGGAAACACAGCCAGGCAATGACATCGTAAACAGGATGAGGTGCGGATCGTGTCTTTGCACGTCTGTCTGCTCCGTGGCATCTGGCGGAGTGTCTTGTGGAGGGGAGTCTGTGTAAATATTTAGTCGCAAAATGTTAGGGCTGGAAGTAACTTTAGAAAACACCTTGTCCGGGCCTCGCCATTTTGGAGATAAGTAAACTGAGGCACAGCCTCTGCTTGTTTTTGGAGGCAGAACAAGGTCCTCTAAGTCTAGGTGGAGTACTAAGTGAATGAGTTTGGAATACCCATGTGCTGAAGGCTTCGTCACCAGCCTGGGTGCTATTGGGAAGTGGTGGAACCTCCAGGAGATGGGCCTAGTGGAAGGAAGTTAGGCCACTAGGTGTGTGACCTAGAATAAGACTTTGGGACCCTGCCCCCCACCTCCATGCTTCCTGGCCACCATGAGAAGAGACCTCCTCCTTCATGTGCTCCTGCCATGATGTTCTGTTATGTTTTTAGTTGTTGATGGACCTTTATTTTATTTATTTATATGCAGTGCTGAGAACCAGTGCCTCACACATGCCAGGCAAATGCACTACCTCTGGCCCCAGCCCCAGCCCACCCGCCGCAGAGTGGTCTTTAAGTACACTTTAGTAAGCTGGCGATCAGCAGCCCCAGCAGAATTGGGGAGGGTGGGGCGTCTCTGCTGCTCACTTGGTCTCTCTGCTCGATGCCCACTGATGCAGAAGGTGCCTGCTTGAGGGAGCTTTGAGAGCAGCGGGCCCAGCCTCCTGTGTACGCTGTCACGTGGGGCGCCATCAGGCCTGTCATCTTAGGCCCTGAGTGTCCTGTTACCTGGGAAGGTAAAAGAAACTTCTGTGAGTCCCTTCAAAGATGCATGACAGGATCTGTTGTCCCAGAAAAATTTGACCCCTGACAAAAATAATTTCTAGAGGCTTTCCTCCCCAGGGTGTCAGGGTCAGATATCATTGCCCCTTCTGGGAAATCAGCTACCGTCCTGCCGGCCACTGAGAACATTCTAGAAGCCTTTTTATCAGCATCTAAAACAGTGCCTCATATTTGGTTTCCTGGGTCATAAAGAAAAGCCTGCAAATAATTCAGAGTGAGGATTCTGATGAAATGTGGGTTCTGCTGCACCCTGCGTGGTGTGGGAAGCTGAGTGACGCTGACTCTAAGAATACCGGTAGTGGTATCTATCTACATTCTAAGAATTGAGGGAGGTGAGGTTTATACAGCATGAAATCGCCCATCCTATCTGTGAGGCTTTCTGCAGAGCGAAGGCGAAAATAAACCCAAACAAACAAAACAGGAGCTTGTCTGAAAAGAGCGAGGCGGGACCCGGGGAGCAGCCGGGACCCTGAGCCCAACGGCCTGGAGAATGGTGTGTGGGAGGGGCGTGTGGTTGTTTTGGTTTGTGTGTTGTTTTGAGTTTTGGTTCTTACTGCTCTATTTACCCCTTGTGTGGTGGGACACTGGCAAAGTTTTCTTGAAGAAAAGGGGAGAGGAGATAAGTGATTCTGGCCCCCATACCACAGAAGTGGGATGAGTCCAGTTTTGACACGCCCATGAGAACCTGGGTGTGTGTGTGTGTGTGTCTGTGCATGCTTGTGTATGTCTGCATGTTAGTGCGTGTGTGTATTTGTGTGTGTGCTTAGGTGTCTGTACACTGTGTTTGTGTCAGTGTCTGTGTGTGCAAATGCAGCATCTGTGCTCTTTGTGTATGTGCTTGCTGTATGTGAGTGTATGTGCTCTGTGCGATAGCACATGCTCTGTGTTTGTGTCCATGTGTGCATGTCCATATCTGCATGTGCATGTCTGTGCGTTCGTGCCATGCTGTGCATGTGTGTGTGCTGTGTCTCTGTCAGTGCCTTAGTGTGAGTGGCACAGCCATGCCAACCCTTCCTTCCACATCTCTCTCCTTCTGCAACCTGCAGCTCCTTTGCTGTTAGGAAAGCAAACATAACTACTTTGTTGCAAAATAAAGACCAAATAACCTGCAAGCGCAAATGAAATCCACCTTTTGATACAATATTAAAAAACATAGAAATTTTCCACGGAGGAAATTCCACACCACCCTGAGCTAGAAGAACAATAGAACCTGAGTGTTTTTGCTGGTTTGGTTTTCTGTTCTGCCCTCCACACCCATTTGCCAACCAACAAATGATCTCTCAGGCTGTACGCTTCACCTCTCCACAGCTGGCTGATTACGGTTTCCCTCTGAATTTAAAATATTTGGTGCTGACTGAGGATGAGGATGGGAGACTGACTAGTACCTCCCTCCACCTCCCTCCCTCTCTCTTCCTTCCTTCTTTCTTCTTTTCTTCCTTCCTTCCTTCCTTCCTGCCTGTTTGTGATATTGCACCTGATTTACTTGCTGTGAACACACAAAAAGCCAGCTGTAGCGGTGGCGGATGCCTCCCACACAGGATTCCTCTCAGGTGGCCGCACCACAGCAACTTCACTGAGAACTCAGGGACAGTTTGGCTTCGGCTGCATCCTGCATGTTCCAGGTAGGACAAACTGCAGCAGAAGATGGGAAGAGAAGTAGCACAAGGCAGCGAGTCTCGAGGGGAAAGACACAGTGCCGAGCTCCTGACTTGCTCTCTGGAGCCCTGACAGCCGGGAGCAGGTATGAGCACTTTCCCATTTTCAGACAAAGCAACAGGCACTCAGAGAAAGGACACCACCCATCAAGGCTGCACGCACTAGGACATGCTGGGGTGGCTTGAGCCAGGTTGGGCTCTGAAGGCCCGGCTCCTGGCATTCCAGCATCCTCACAAGGACCCAAGCCCATACTGCACATGGAAATCTATTTCAACCCACATAGATTTGGTGGCCATGTGTCAGCAAAGCCACAATTTAATCTATTTCAGGAAAACAGCATTTTTTTTCTCACCTGTGCATAAATCATCCAATTTTCTCTTCCAAGAAGTCAAAACCTGTGAAGAAGATAGATGTAAGAATTTTTTTTTAACCACTTCTGGTGGTGAGAGGCAGTTGGGGAGATGGAGGCTCGATGCTAAAGTGTTGGCATTTCTGAAATAGATTCATGATTAGAGGGAAAGAAGTTATAGCGTGGAATTAAGAAATTCAAGAAACTTGGGAAATCCAAGCAGAGGATCCACAGCGCTGTGATGTTTCCAGGTGTGGGAAACCGCCACTCTCTGCTTCCCCCTTTGTTATTTATTTTTAATTAACAAACAAAAATTGTATGTAACAGCTTTTGTGTTTTGTCCCGTGTGATGAGGGCCGTGTTATCCTTTCTTGCTGCCAGAGTTAACTAAACATATTAACTGCGTGCGGTGTTCAGCTCTCATTAATTTTCCATAGACTCACTGGGCTTTGATCTTTTCATTTCAAAGCCAAAAAGACCATAGAGAGGGAGAAGCCACCTCGTTGAGTGCCCTCCTCCAGCGCGGGTGGTTCGGCCTGAAAGATGCCTGTCAATCAGGAAGCCAGTTTGAGTAAGCAAGCAATTAAATAACACAACCAAACTTTCCCCATCCTCTGCTATCAATATTTAATTAGTATTGACTCTTCACTTGGCTAAATCTCATTTCAGAACCTGCACAAATGAACTTTTTCTGTGAGGGAACCTTTTAAAGTATACATTTGAAATATCCTTAAGCCTAAGAGAATCGTTTTTAAACAAGTTATGCATGGACTTCCTCTGACTCTGACATATTTCTTGAGTGATTTTCCTGAAAGATTCTTTGGTTCACTGAACACAAAAAACAAGCCATGTACCAGGCTTGATAGAGGTTGCAGGGACTGAGCAGTGTGGCATTTGTTCTAAGGAGCTCAGATCTACCAGAGGAAATAAAGCATTTTAACTAGTACCACAGGGTAACATAGAAAATTGTCCAGTGCTGTTGTTTTAATGCTGATTACTACATACCTCAAAGCTGGTTAAATTATAGTTTTATTGAACGTTAATGAACTCTTACTCCCCTCCTGCACAGAATTTTAAAAACCCTTTGCTTTCTCTGGGTTATAATTATGGTGACCACATTTTCCATACCAAAAATTAAGACACATGGTCTGACAAAGGATTCTTGTGCCACTGCTAGGTGTGAGACCACCCATAGTTACATTTTTTTTAAAGCAGGCATTTTTCAGCAGGCCCTATTAAAAAAATAGAGATTCATTAAATGGGCATGTTTTTTAGGCTTTTCATTAAAAGGCTATAATGCAAACAGTATTTTATTTTGTATCTGAATCAACATGTTATATCCTAAAGCCCTATTTTACAGCCTAAAGGTATGTGTTAGCCTATTCATAAAAACACACTGCTGCATGGAGTCATAATACCCACCATTATCCAGGTGGAATGAAAAGGTCCCAAGTGGTCTGCTCCAGGTCTTTAATTTTCCTTTTGAAGATAAAGCTCCTTATTTCACTTTCAAGGTTCAAGGTTTTTGAACCTTGCAAATGGTTGCCATTGAGGCGTGCCAGATGGGAGCAATTGCGAGCAGTTGTTCTTGAAAAGAGGGGGACGGGTGGCTTTTCCTTCTATTTTTCTCCCCCTCCTATCATCTGTGGTTTCCACACGTGTAATTGTTCAGGCCATCAAGGCCGCAGGGATGGAGACTGGCCAGGGCTGCTATATTCCAGGCAGGGGCTCTTGAACTAGGGGGGCCTTTGGGGTAAAACAACCTGTGTTGGTGATTCACAGACAATGAAACCAAGGCCACCAGGCCTGCCGGTGGGACAGCCAGCTCTAGATCCCCCGTTTTCTGACTCACATAGGTTTCTGTTCCCAAGCCAGAGTCACTCAGAGCCACTCTGGTCTGTTCCCAACCACTCTGATGTTTGGGGTAGCTCCTCAATAGGATTGTGTTATTCTAGAATAATGGAGTCAATGTATGGCTCAGCAGACTGTCGTGGAAAACAAGTTGAAAAGCCTGGAGACTCTTGGTCCAGGTGGCTTCCCCAGGATGACTCAGCTGGCCTGAAGTTGAGTACAAGGAAAGAGTTATGTACTGTGCTTCCTACTCTCCTGGGGATCACTGGCCTCCTGCGGATCCAGCAGCAGTGGGACCAGACTTTTCCCACCCGTTGCTTTAATTGAGTTTATAGTACATTGTTGAGCTGTGTCTCTTTTTAATAGGTGGCTTTGATAAATTATTTTGTAAGGTGGCTGCATTATAGGTTGCTTATCTGAATGTACTTTTGAAATGTCTCTCCACCATTGAAGACATACCAGATGTTTCACCCAAGTGGCCTTCAAATTCAGCCTCGTTTCACTGTAACTTCCCATTCACTTGTTCATTTATCGCCTATTTATTGAGAAACTCCTATATGGCAGTCACTCAGTCACTTATCTGAGTGCTAAAGATACCACAATGAGCACAGAGAAAAAGTCCCCCACCCTTTGATGGCTCACATGCCATCAGATAGTATTGATAAATGGGCCAAAAAATTAAAAGGTAAAATTCTTAGCTTGCCATGAAGGTGGACTACCATGAAGCAGAAGGCTAAAGAAAAAGGAACTCACATTTATTGAATGTGACTCTGACATATGCTCTGTTGGATTTATCTCATTGAATCATCTCAACAACCCTTTGAAAGATGAATATGGTTATCTCTATTTTTTTAAAAAACGATAAGGAACCAAAGTTTAAAAATATAGTGTATCTTGCTCGAGTTTGTACAAGTAAGGAAATCAGTCTACAGTGATCTTTTTAATACCATGCTAGATGTGACTGTATCATTTTATTTGCTGTATGGACCACCATATGATCATGAAAAGTTGGTGGAAGAACCTTAAGGCACATCTAAATTTTTTGCCAAAGATAATAATATACCTCAAGAAATTTCATGTCATTTTATGGATGAATGGATGAAGAAAATATGACACATATGTACAATAGAGTATTCAACCTTAAAAAAAAAGAAGAAGGAAATCTTCCCTATGCAACAACATGATGAAACTTGAGGACATTATGCAAAATGAAATAAGCCAGTCCTTAAGACAGACACTGTATGATCCCACTTATGTGGGTTATCTCTAACAGTTATTTACACTCTTAAAAGTGTAAATAAAATGATTTTTATAGGGGGAATGGGTACTCACTATTCGTTGGTTCCGGGTATATAGGATGAATAACTTCAAGAGATCAATAGAACCACATTGTGCCTACAATGAAGAGTATTGTATTGTGCACTTCGAAGTTTAAGAGAATATATCTCATGTTAATTGCTCTCATCACACACACAAAAGTGACATTTCTTTGGACATGTTTGAAACATCATTTTGAAGTGTAATCTAGTCCAGGTCCCCCTTACCAATGATGTAGATTTATCTAAGTTCTGAATAGCAGCAACCACTGTAGTGCACTCCAGTTTCATAACAAGCATCTCCCATAGAATACCTCACCCCAGATTAGCTATTTGATGACCACAATAGCATGTGCTTCTCAGATAACGTACGACCTTTTGTTTGGCTCAGAAGTTAGTGGTTGACTTTATTAAAAATAGGTGGTTAATGGTTGAGTGTGACCTTCATCATAGGGCACTTGAGTATTTGGGAGTTTTTCTCTTCACATCATGAAAATATAGCTGCAGAATCCATCACCCTTGTTTCTTCAAAATTCATTAAGAATATCAGAGATAGTTCCCCCTGTTTTTGTTTCTGGAATCAGTTACCCAGGAGATGTATGGAATCTGCCAGTGCTTGGGGCCTCAAACCCTTGTGCATGTCTAGAACACCAACAGTAGACGGGGGCAGTGCTTGGTGAGAGAGAGAGGCTTGCTGAGTCTGGATGCCAGACCAGATGGAGGAAGAAGGCCTTGCTGACTTAGGGCCCCACCACATTGGTACTGATGTAATAGTGAGTGAGTGCTACAGCTGTGATGTCACATGGTGATGTCATTTCAAGAGCATAGTAGCCATCGGCACATCCCAGAGCCTCGCTCGCTGGGTGAGGGGTACCAGGAGCTGCGTGTGCACCTCAGGCACCCTCCTACTCTCTTTGTCATCTCTTGAGTTTGGGATTTTTGCAGAAGAGTTATATGAATCATGCTTTGCAATTGACCTTATCACTCCAGTGCTCCCCATTACCCTTAGGATAAAGTCCAGGCTCCTCAGTCTGACTTCCAGAGTCTCACAGGGCCTGATCCACCACCCTTCTCATGTCTCTCACCCTTGGGCCACTTGCCCATGGCTCACGGGCCACTGGGGCTGAAATCCCAAGAAACACATCAGGTTGCTCCCTCCTTGGGGCCTTTTGGGACCGCGAGCTCTGCCTGCATTGCATTCCCCGCAAGGCCCCAGGGCTGGCTCCTACTTGCCTTTCAACTCAGCTTAGATATCACTTCTTCAGAGAGGCTCCTCTGACCACCCAGTCATCCGCTCTCTTTATGCTCTGGGCATTTTCCTATCACACAGTTACTGCTTGGCTTCCTTATTCTTTCAGCTCCAAGAACTCAGGGATCATGCCAGACACGGTTTCCACAACTGCCCCAGCACCTAGGCAAGCACTGAGCACATGGTAATGTTGAATGAATAGCATCAACTCCAATGGAGGAAACAGGCACTTAAATACAGGCAAAGGAAATGCAACTTTTATAGGTCAATTTTAAATAATGCTAAAGAGATGAAGTCCAGGCCAGTTTTTTTTTTTTTTTTTTTTTTTATAAACTTCACTCTATATTTAGCTACTTCTGATTGGTCAGCAATTAATTAATCACACACAACAACCTATTCTAAGGAGATCACAGTGCTCAGCTCCGATGCACCAGCCTACGGTCTTACTGGCACTGAGTTCACAGTCTCCACTTAATGCATCAGAAACCTTTAGGGCTTATCCTCAACTCCAGGGACGGCTTTGCTTCTTCTGTACGCAGCTGCTCATGCACAACATCTACAGTGAAGGGCTTCACCAAAAACCCACCTCAGATACTGAAATAGAGCTGGATGTAAGTTGCACACACACAAGAAGCACTTTTCATTTGAGTAGGTTAGTGACACCATTGAATACAG